TTAGGGTTTACCTATAGTCTCCATCGTAGTACCTCTTTTTGGTTTAACCATTTCTATATTAAGGATCCTGTAAGGTAAACCCCAAAAGGAACTACAATGGAGACTATAGGTAGGGCATTCAGGGTTCAGGGCTTACAGCTTGGTTCTAGTTTAAGGTTTATATGGTTTAGAGATATTTATAGCTTGAAATGTTTATATATAGGGTTTAGAAACCAGGGTTTGGGATGAGGGTTTAGGGTGTTGGCTTCCTGCGGGCACTTCAGGCATGTAGGCTTGTCTTAAAAGGATCTATAAGGATGCAAAGAGTTTCTAGGTTCTGTTTGGGGCTTGGGCCCTAAACCCCAAACCCTGAATCCTAAACCTTAAACCCTGAATCCTACACCCTTAACCCTAAACCCCAAACTCGAAACCCTAAACCCCAAACCCCAAACCCTAAACCCCAAACACAACACTATATTTGGGGTTTGGTGGTTTGGGCTTCTATGCGTTTTTGGGATCTCACGGATCAGGCTTCAGGGCTGAGGGGGTCATAGGGCTACATGGGGCTTAGGGGTTTAGGGGTTTGGGTTTAGGGTTTGGGGCTTTAGGGGTTTAGAGTTTAGGGTTTAAGGGGTTGGGGTTTATATAGGGGTTTAGGCTGTAGGGCTTGGATTTTTTTTAGGCTTTAGAGCCTCGTTTTCCAGTCCAGGGTTTAGGGTTTTTGAGGTTTTCAGGGTTAGGGCGGCTGTTGGGTTTAGGGTTTTTTAGGTTTTCAGGATTAGAGTGGCTGATGATTTCGTATTCATAGTAAAGTCAAAGGTAGGCACGCGCAGCTTCCCGTGTATATTATCGAGCTCGGGAAGCCACCAGCACACGACTCCCCTCTTTCAGAGACCCTTTGAACCCTCTTTCAGAGACCCTGTCCCGGGATACGGAAGTAACCCAAACCTAAACTCTAAGCCCTCAGTCCAGAACCCAATGTACAGAGGGTGATGAAAACCTACACCCTAGGGATACCCTCACTTTGAATAGTGTCCCCAAGTGAACTGAGAATGATGAAGGGCCCCGGCTCGGCGTCTTCTGCTCTGGGAAGGACGGCAACGTACGATGCACAGGTTGACCTGAGCGCTACGCTGTCGGAGTCGATCTCTGCCCATGGCCTATATGTCTCCATTATAGTTTTTAGGGTTTGGGGTTTAGGGTTTAGGGTTTTGGTTAACCAAATTCATATTTATAGGATCCTAACCATAGAATTGGTTAACCAAAAAAGAGCTACAATGGGGACTATAGGTGGTGTCGAAGATATTTAGTAAGCCTACGGCTGACCCGGACTTGATACCACTGCAAACAGCCGTACTTGCATATTGCAAGACCAGGGAGATGACCGAGACCTCCTAACGCTGGGGCGTAATGTAGGAGCCTTGATAATTAGAATTGGGTTTTGGGGTATGTTCTGCAATAAATATAACAAAGAACCCCTGAAATAGTATAGGAAATCATTAAGGCCCCTATAATATTACATCTCTGAAGCTGCGGTCCCGCTTAGAATTCGGAGGGTTGTCCCTGAAGTGCAGCCTCGTGGTATGCAGATATAATGTAGGGGCCTTAATAATTACAATAAGGTTTTGGGGTATACGATACTATAATTATAATAGGGACCCCCCCAATAAAAATACTATTGGTAATTATTTAGGCTTCTAAATTATTCGGACCTTTAGCCCTTCCGGCTCCGGCTCGTGCATGCAGAGGACTTACTCTCGAGGCAAAACTCATTACGCGCAGACGAGTTGGCACTCGACCCCATGCAGGGTACGTGCGAGCTTAAAGCTATCAGCTATCTGTCTACCTACCTCTCTATCTATCTATCTATCTGTCTATCTATCTATCTATCTATCTATCTATCTATATAGACATCAATGTGAATGAATATCAGTAGCTAAGTCACTAGATAACTAAACATATATATATATATATATAGAGAGAGAGAGATGCATATATACACATCTGCAGGTGGAAATCAGCTTTAAACGGACGGTGGCAAAGCCACATTGAATAGCTATCTGGGCACTTCTTGATACCACGCCGGAAATGGCAGACATTTTTCTTGCTTCGTCGGCACTGCTATTTTGGGCTCTGCCTCACATCAGATGGACCTGCGCACAGCAGGCCGACGTGGGACCAAACCGGAAACCTCAAAAAGTCCGGCGCCTCTTATTCGGAGACGATGTATCAGACGCCGTCGACACATGGCCTAGAAACTTCTCGAGAGCAGGAGGCAGCTCCCCGTTTTGCGACATCTGTCGCAACGCCTTGCTGTTCTGGGCGAAGGTAGCACAAGCCTTCTCGAGGCCCAACAAGCTCTTCAACGTGGCAGCTGATGCGATGTCGATAAAGCTGGAATCGGTGATCATTCCTTGCAGGATCTCCTCGAGCACGCGCACCACGCCCTCCACCTGCCAGCGATGGGCGGGGTCCAAGGCTTCGAGCGCGGTCTTGTACTGCACTTCACTGCATGTGGAGCTTGTGTACACAAGGTCCAAGAACAGGGACACGCCGGCAGCAGAAGAGTCTTTGACTTCAATATGCTTTCTAGAACCTTCTGTCATGCAGGACTGCAGCATTGCCGACAGCACTGGGGAGGTCGCCATGAGAGCAATGTCGTGTGCTGTTACTGGACCATCGGCAGTGGCAAAAGTGACGTTGTGGGTGGCAGTCATGCCCCTGATCGCTTCCCAACGGTCGATTACAGTTTGGTCTACTTCTATTTTCGGCCGCTGGCCCTTCATTCGGGAAATTATGGATACGACCTCCTGGACGAAGGCCATGGCCCGATCATAGCGCGTTGTTTGGAGCTGTGTCTCATGGAAAGCCTCGAGAAGCGCCAAGGCAAAGGAAAGGAGACAATGCCCAGGCGCTTCGACATGAATTTTGTCGGACTTGTCTTCCTCCGTCTGGCTCTCTGATCTGTGCCACGCAAAGGCACAGGGATCGCGCAATTTTCGTGGCAGTCGAAGAAGTGGATCTGCTCCAGATTTGATCATCCACTCAACAATCTGGAGGCGTTGCTTCACGGTACCATCCGTCGCTTTAACTATTCCTATTCTAAATGCCTCAAACAGCAGTGGCAGTTCGCCGTCAGCAGTTCGCGACCACGCAAAGCATGGCGGTGCGAACTTCCTTGATTGGCCAAGACTACGAGTGCGTACTTGGGTCTTGGACACGAGCAACCTTGTTTTGCATGAGCGATTATGCTATATATATATATATATATATATGATTGGTTTGCAGGAAGGGAAACAATGAGAATAGTAACAAATCCTTGCTGTAACCAACTGTAGTACCTTCCATAATCATGATGGCTGCATTGGCCGTCAAAACTACAATTTCACGACCGTGGAACAAGACATACAACTTTGCAAGAGCACGGCTCGCAATGCAGTCCCGCCATTTGCCTGGTTTGCTGCTACATGCTCATGAAATTCTCTCGATGTCCTCCTGCCTAGACTGCATGCTGCCGTGGTCTGTATGAGCGGCCCCCCAGTCATGATTGCTGCTGCAGCTGTGTTGGGTTATGGGTGTTCGTCTTATTGTTACACATAGGCTCCATTGTAGGTCCTTTTTGTGGCTTAAATTTAGGATCCCACAAGGTAATCCCAAAAAGGAACTACAATGCAGCCTGTGGGTATAACCAGTCCAGCGGTCACGGTCGCGCATGTTAGCGGGCGATGCCTTCTAGAAGAGACCATGACATCTGCGATGGCCCACGGTTCTAGGTGGTGGCGACGATGATTGTGGCGATGATGGTGACGGTGGTGATGACGACGATGATAATGACGAATCGATGATTATTATGATGATGATGAGCATGACAAGCTGGGTACACATGACTGCACTGGGTAGCAGAGCTGCATTTGGATTGGAGATTTGGTCATGTATGTGACTGTGACCATCGTCATTAGCATAGTTTTGGTGCTGTGGCTTTTGTTGCTGAATATGCAAACGATGCTTACGAGGCTGCTCGACACAATCACTGTGGCCTCTTACAGCTCTACGGTAGCAGTCTCCTGGACTATTCCAACATTCAGTGTACTCTTCCACTTCTTGCTTGTGTAGACACGTGTAGTGTAGTCTGTTTCAGTCAACCTGTCACTTCTATGAATATCGCTACTGAGCTCTTGCTGCTACTACACACACTGCGGCTGTACATGCTCGCGATTTTGCGCTGCTGTCCTTCCCGAGCTGGCATTACAATATCTGAGCTGGTCACTTTTAGTGAACTCATTGCGATCATGACTATGGCTATTGTCGCTAAAACAATCTTCTCACATACTGCGAGTCTTGCCAGACTTCCGTCCAATTCGAGCACTGCTGCACTGCTGACGATTATTTAGGTTTTGCAGTTTTCGCAACCTTTTTTCCGGCGTGCTAAAGCTTTTCCCTAGTGTAAAAAATCAGGAAGGGCACAACAGACTTCGTCCCCTCCCCTCTATCCGCACTCTGGGGCTGCAAGGGCTGTGATAACGCTAACCCTTCTCTATTCTGGCTAGGTCCTACCGCTCAGCCTTTGTATATGTGGTTTTGATTCAACTTGTTTCAGCTTTCGTACAGCTTTTCTTTATAGATGTTACCGGCACTTGCTGCATCATGGGGGCTTGCCTTTCGGGCAGCTTTCCTAAAGCCTTTTTTAAATCAAACCCAAAATTTTTCTCTTAGCATTGAGCCTTCCAATACTAGCACTTTCAATGCGATGGTCGCTAGTCTGCCCCTGGTTGTCCTTGCTGACATGAGTAGAAACCCAAATATGTCTGTAGGAAACAGTTTCTATACGTTATTGACGACCATGCATAGACGGGTTGCAACTTATGCTGCCTTTAGTCGTTTAGCTGCTTGGGCAAGAAGCACTGCTGCATCCTTACGAATACGACCCTCGTCTTGGTCGTAAGCACGGCCACGAAGATCCGAAGATTGCTGCACGCTTGGCGAACCAATCAATGCTTGAAGTAGTGCAGCCGCGCTAACTTTTTTCTACTGTCCCTTACACAATTCCAAACCCTGAAATCACAAACTGGTGCTGTTGAGACTCTGCAACCCGGCCAAGTCTGCGAGCATCACGAAGCGCTTCAGGATGTCAAAGTGAGGATCTTCTGCCATATCCGCTCGGCCATGCGCAAGGGTGGACAAGAAAAGGCAGATCTTGTAAGTTTTGAGACTCCTCGTGCAGCTCGCCTGAACCTTAAGTTGCAAAGGTTTCGGTGCAGCAGCTCACGTAAGAAACTTCGACGGTCAGATGGAAAATGTTCTCGCCTGAAAGCCTACAGTGATCCGGCGGAGCACATGTCACTGCATCGCCCACTACACTAGAGTGTGAAGTTGGGTACAGGGCACAGAGAGCCTCCGTGGCTGAACCTTCGGTTAGTTGCAACACTGATGGATCGCGCATGCAGGATGTCGGTGAGCCTCAACTCAGAGACCATGATGTCGAAAGTTTTCTGTCACCGAAGTAAATGACCTCCACACTCGCTTGACTTCACTGGAGCCCTAATATGCCCTAATCGTCAAACCATGATCCCTGTCCTAAACCTCGGCCGCGAGGCCCAGCCTGAAGCTCAACTTGACCCAAGAGGCGTAAACCCCAAACCCGAATCCTAAAGCCCCAGCTGGGCCCCAAACCCAAAGTCCCTGATTGACCCAAACTCTTAAGCCCTGGAGCTTTAAATAATATATGCTCAGTTTAAAGCGCAGATCGTTTAGCTTGCCACTGAGAGGCAGGATTTACTCCATGTACACTCAGGTATATTCCGGAAGGAGCCCCAAATACACTCACTACAGCTCCTGGTCCCACAGAAACAATCCTCCAGTTACATGTACAGCACGGTGCATCCCAATGCCCTCACTCCGAGCCCCGGAACCCAGATGCCAATCGCAGTTTGGCGCCATCGCAGCCTGGCATAGGCCCCCCCGGCTGGAAAGTTGAAGGCTTTCGGATGCCCTAAACCCTAAACGTTGAAACCTGGGGCTTCCGGATGTTACCTATAGTCTCCATTGTAGTACCTTTTTTTTGGTTTAACCATTTCTATATTAAGGATCCTATACGGTAAACCCCAAAAGGAACTACAATGGAGACTATAGGTAGTGTGTTTTGGGGTTTCGACCTCTGGGGTTAAGGGGGGAAGCAATCATTCAGGAATGGCTTCAGGGTCCTACAGAATAGGGCTTGAGGAGTGTAGGGTGCTGTACGACGGCAGGACAGGAGGTTAGGCTTTCGGAGACACCTTGCAAAGACATCGGGATATACAGATGCGAAGATGCGAGTCGATGACGCTTTCCGGCAAAATGCTTGCAGCGAAAATACGTATTGAAGTTCTTACCCTAACCCTCCAGGCACCTACTATAAAGGGTACTAGAGCCCCTATAGGGCCCTTTATAGTAGGTACCTGGAGGATTAGGGTGATATGTGTTGCTGAAAACAAAATGTGCCGGCGCATTGGCCATCAGCTCGCTCGCTGCTCGCAACCGGAACCGCAAGATGCTCACTCTTTATGCTGCCTGTGTCTAGCGCACGGTGTGTGATGGATTCTTTCTTTAACGGATGTGCGAGTTGTATCTTGCACCATACCACGGCTTGGTAGGGTCGTCGGCTTCAAACACCCTCTCTTCTGGACTAGGCTGGGCCATTTGTGGCGGAAGAGGCTCCTCTTACTGGTAATTCGGTCCGTCCAGACCTTACAGCATGTGCGGTGTGAATCGGTGATAGGTCTGATAGGTCTGTCGGAACGGAACGGCTGCCCCGATATCATCCCTGCACAGGCTCTGAACGTAACGCCTGAGCCCTCAACCGTAGAAAACGAAGCTACCACCAGTGCCGCTGCCACCATCGCTAGGGTTCAGGGCTTAGGATGACTGGGTCACGTGGAAGCATACGCTTTTAAGAGTTATCAAGGCGAATCTGTAGGGCCTTTGTTGACTCCTAAGTCTATAGATTCGTCAACCTGACGAGGCCCTTTAACCGACTCCTGAAGCCGCAGCTCATAGAAGGTCTGAAGAGTTGCTTGTACGATACATGCAAAGTTCCTAGTTTCAGAATCCTGCAATCCTGAAAACCCTAGAGAAAAAAACAAGGATCCGTGTAGCGCCCTCTTACCAAGTGTGCAGTCCGTACAGTAAACCCTGTAAGGCGACTGACGAAATCAAAGGTGGCTCCACCATGGCTGCCCGGTATTCAGCTCCGCATTGCACGGGCGACGGGATGTGCCTGCAACACCAGGTTAAATGAGTAGGACTTAGGAATTACAGGGTAGGGGGTTTGGGGTTTAGAATTTAGGGCATGCTCTCCGCAGCGGTTGCAAATCTATACCAGGGTGTGGGCGGCGGCACGTCTTGTGCCAAGCAACCTTCCTTATCAAATTGAGACACAACCCCATAATTAAAGCCGGAAGTCCTTTTGCCACCCACACAGTATCCCGTTGAGGTTTAGGTTACACACCATCAACTCCCGCATCATTGCTGTTGTGTGATGCGCGCGAATAACCCCTGCTCCTGAAGGCCTCTGGCCTCTAGGAATTTGGGGTTTGGGGTTTAGGGACCTTGCAATGTAACAAGAGTCTTTCTAACGGAGTAGTGACAAGCTTTAAGTGTTGGGGGTTCCGGCCTGGCGGAAAAGACTTGCATATGCTCAAAACTCGCATCGATATCAATGCAGCTCCGAAATCGCGAACCAGAAATGCCTAAACCCTTGCAAAACTCAATAGCACTAAAACCTGAAAGTTAAAACCAAAAGCACTTAGCCCGACAAATCTCTAATCCCCAAAACCCAACAGCCTTACAAACCCTAGACAACAAAAACCCACAGCCCAAACCCTCATCCCTTCAACCCTCCAAGTCACTACTTTTCGCTACTCCTCAAAGCACCTCGGGCTTCGGTCGCACCGCGAAGCGGGCTGCAAAGTCAGCCGCGGGGGTGGCCTTTGTGCCGGTTTGCACGGTGATTCAGGGTTTATAGAGTTTAGGGCTTAGGGGTTTAGGGTTTAACTGTTTGGGGATTGGTCATTGGGGCCTCTCTTTACCATGGTATGATGCAGAGTGGCTGTTTGGGTATGGAGCTTGGTCTTTAGACTGTACTAGAGTCTTACTTTTGAGTCACTAGAGTTTGACCTGGGGGTAGGAGCCTATCGCAACTTGCCACTCTATGGAACACAACCTTGGCTGCTTCGGTGTTGTAACCACCACGAAAAGTCTCATGATCCGCTCGGCAGAGCGAATATAGATCTTGAGCCGGTCATGCCTGTCTGGTTTGCAAGACCGGCAGGCACATCTGGTAAAAGAGCTTGCATAGGGCTTGGCTTTTCTCCCTGTCGAAGCATGGATTATGCTACATGGTCACCGCATGGCATGGGGCACAAGCTCAGAATGATCTGTGAAAGAATCCTGATTGACAATGGTGCTGCTGGTTTAAGACTTTAAGATGATGGGGTCAGGATGGTGCTAACAGCGATGAAGCTGAGCACTCGCCATGGGCGAGTGCTGGCAGAGGGAAGATCAACCTGAACATGACAACTGAGCATGATGCTGATGATGCTGGTGCTGGTTCTGATCATGTTACCATGTTGACGTTGAAGACGATGGCGGCGACAAGGACGATGGATGCAGTAAGGACGATTAAAACCCTCATCCCCCGCAGCACGGCCAGGACTATGCATGCCTAAAACTCTAAACCCTAACCCATAAAAACCTAAACCCTAAACCCCTAAACCCCTAGACCAATGACGATGATGATCTTGAGGAGCTGGAAGAAGACCATGGTGCTGATGAAACTGCCCATACCTGAAGGGTCCATGTACCCGTATAGCATATACTTTACGATGGGCCCCACAAAGTTGGAAACCGGATTAAGGACAATTAGTGCTGGGATTTCTTATACATTACTCTTAAGGAATGAGGCTATTTGGTTTCCAACTTTTGGGCTTCTACTGTAGCGTTACAGTCATCCTGATATAAGTATGTACTCTAGGGCTAAAGTATATGCTATGTGGGTACACGGAGCATCAGGGATAATCATGAGGCTGAAGATAAGAAGAACTCCTTTAATATAAGGCCCCGTTTAGGGTACTCTTGAAGGTATCCTTCAGGGAACCCTGAATGGCACTGTACCTTGAAGGGCAAGAGGATTCATATGATGATAAAGGCCATGATGACGATGGCAAGGCCCTAAACCCTAAACAGTGATGGCGTCGACGGCCAAGGAAAAGGCTGCACAGAGGCCGGCTGCCTTGGCTGATGCCGCGGCCTTCCGTTCAGAGCGAGGGGCTGTTTTAAGGGAAGTGTAGGGTCATATGGCTCAGGGTTTATAGGATTTATAGGGTTGGGTTTCCAATCGTCGTGAATGCTCTGCTTTTGAGCTGTTGTGCAGCATCATGGACGGTTTTACCGGGTGTTGTATGACGCTCTGAATTTATGAGGGTTTCATAAGGCGTCACAAGGGTCTCCGGGCTTCATCAGGGTTTTGCTGCTGCTGGGGTCGTGGGTTTTTGGGGTTGCGGTCTCGTTTACAACAGTTCTTTTATTCAGGGCTTGGACGTTCGCCCAGTAAGGGTTTACATGTTCGTGCAGGGGATTCTCGTGTGTAACCACAATCCCAGAGCTTTATGAACAGCCTGGTCCAAACTCCAAAGCCGTAACCCCCGCAACCCCAAAATCGTAAACTCCAACACCCCAAGCGCCAACACCGCGACCTTCGACACCTTGAGAACCAAAAATCCAGAAGAAATAAACCCTAAAGGCCCCACAGGGCTTCGTGTGCACGTCCGAACCCTGTTTGTCGACACAAACCCTTAAACAAGCGGGCCTATGCAATGATGTCGCAGAACAATGAGCAGAACAATCCCGCAACTTGTTTGAGCAGAGCGGTCCCTTGCCCCACACCTGTAGCTCAACACCCTGCCTGACACCCTGCACACCAAATCCTCAAACGCTGCAGTCAAAACCCAAGTCGTTGCTTGCTTGCTGTCATTGATCACCCCTTTGCTTATGTGCTTATTTGGACGTCCTCGATAACCTAAACGCGTTTTGTATCAGCAAGGACATACCTTGCAAATCACAACCCTTATTGAATCTTGTAGCCTACATGCAGAAGCCTCTAGAACCCGAGCCTTGAC